AACATACCTTGATAAAATAAAACAAAGAAGTTTAAACTCCTGTCTCCTGGTGGTTTGTGGCTCCAGTTTGTATAAAATACCACGTACGGTCCGCCCTTCTATGCCACCCTGGCATGACCTCTTGCCTCCCCTTTGCCCCCCCATGTAAAATGTTCTAGAACCGCCACTGCTCCCAGCACATATCCGGACTGCTGAGTCTATTGAACTTTTTAAATCTCAGCTAAAAACTCACCTCTTTGCACTGGCTTTTAATACTAGTTGAACATTACATTTTTATATTTGTATGTGTTTTTTATTTATTTATTTTTTATATGTTTCTAGTTATTGTGCTTTTTATTATGTTTTTAATTATTGTTTTATTATTGTACTCCCATTGTGTTATTTAATATTGTAGTTACTGCCTGTACAGCACTTTGGTCAACTGAAGGTTGTTTTAAATGTGCTATATAAATAATTCTATAACACATAGGTGTGAGCAAGCTCTCTGATTGGTCAATAGGCGTGTTTGATTCCACGATCAAACAACGATCAAATAGAACGTGCCTTTTCACAACAAGTCAGTATCCCTCCGCGTCTGAGTAAAACAGTATACCGTTGGGCCGAAAAGCAAACTGGGTTGTCGACCCTCTGCTTCGCGTCGGGCCGAACCACGCCCCTTAGCTGTGATATAATGAGCATATACCACGGCCTGTCGTCAGCGGCGCCGGATTCATTTCAGAAGTGGGGGGGGGGGCAACAAGTGCGTGTGTGACATAGCCTACTTGCCAACCCTCACGATTTTCGCGGGAGACTCCCGTTTTCCTCCCGGGGTCATATTTCTCCCGCATTTCTCCCGATTTCTGACTAAATCTGATTTGTTTCATTCTAACATAACGCACCAAATGTTACTGTTTCCACTCGGACTTCAATACAGCTACACCATTGTTTGGTTTCCATGGTAACGTGTCTCTTTAGTAGCGCGAGCAAATGAAAGTCTGAGAGGGTCTTCAGGAGGAAGATAGTCAGAGAAAACAGAACAAGAATGGACAACTCAACCCTCTGCTCACTCCTTTCCTGTACATTAAACTATACAGACCAGCCCACATATGACAGCGCAGTTGCTCATTCCATCTCTTCTTTTTTCCTGCTACGCTCTTGTTTGACAAGCTGAATGTTGACTGGTGTTTGACTGAAGTAAGCTCTGTGAAAAGTTCCAGTTATTAACTCGGTATTTACAAAGCTGTCATCTCCACATTTGGAGAAAGTTACAAGCCGTTTGACAGCATCACATCTGCATATTTCACAGAAGGCTCGTTTAGTGGTTTTGCAAATAAATAACCACTCTCTGTTTTTGTACCATTCTGCATTGAAGTACCTTATCTTTGCCCAAATAAGCTTTTATTTGCCCGTCACAATGTCCCGACAACAAACCTCCATGCAGTCGGAACCAGCCTGTTTCGGTTCAACGATGCCGGCGGCGGCGGTTTTGACAGCCTCTGCGGCCGCAGAGCTGCTGCTGGGGTTCATCTGGCTGCGCTGGTTCTATGGTTGAAGGACCAGGCTCCGGAGGTGGTTCTGTGGTTGAAGGACCAGGCTCCGGAGTTGTGGATGTCAGGGATGTGACATTCAAGTTGTTGAATTTCAGCTTAGTTTGACTGTATTTTTTTTCTTATGCGCCGGTTCTTCTGACATGTTTGCAAGTTTATCTATCTAGGTTAACGGCTGACACACACTGAACAACGTAACACATAACGTAAATAACGTAACAAATAAACACATCTAAGCTTTGTTATTGGTTGTAATGTACATGGATACATTTGAATGGTGTGACAATGTCCTATTTGATTGGATTAAAATGTACATATTCTTCCTGTTATGTCTGCCTGCTGTATTTTACCTAATGCAAAGTGACCTAATGTTATAAACAAATGGCTAGAATTACGCTGATTTGGGTGAGTTGTGTAATTCGTGGAGAACCGAAGAGTTTTCGTTTTTTGGGGGGGGGCGGGGGGAGTCCGTCCGTCGGTCCGACTGACGGACAACTTCTCACCTCAAAAAAGAAGAAGAAATCTAGACCGCAAAAATAATTAAACAAGCGATCCTGTTTTTCCTGACCAAGGACAGGTTCCATGAACACAACACGAGCGTAACGTGTCCTTCTCTCGTCTGAAAGGAGTGCTGACGGAGAGCACCAGAACGCCGCTCCAGCTCTTCAAATATTGCAGTACCCATAAGGAGCCGTACACATGCCGCAGTGTTTGCATGGCTGTGTCTTTAGTTGTAAGCACAGTGGCGATCTGTTGTTATTAGCATCTGGTTAGCTAGCTATGCTAACGAATTTAAAGAGCTTTTCTACAACCAGGTGGAAGAGAGCTCACATAACCTCAGCTCAGTGAGGTTAAGGCACACCTTGATATGATCATTATAGTTATTAATGAGACTAAATGAAAAACAGGTATACAATACTATATGACAGTAACACAAAAGTTGTTAAAAATAACAAGAATAGAGTTTAAAAGGGGAGTTACTGCTGTTCTGTTTCATTTGGGTGTTGAAAGATGTATCCATAGATCTCTTAATTTTGCTCTCAAAGTGCACCAGATTGATGCTTTTAACTTCAATATTTTTAAAAATAATCTTCCCGGGGGAGCATGCCCCTGGACCCCCCTAGAGGAGGTTAGGTCCCCCCCGCCCCCACACTTAAATCATGGTCACATGGATAGGATACTAAATACATTTGCACACATTTTGTGTCCATATATCTTTCTGTTTTGGTGGTCACACCACACCGTGCAGGTGCATGCATACGTGAGTCATGGTGAGATATCTGGATTAAGAGGTTGCTTTTTCTTTGCACAGCATGAAAGAAAGGCCAAATGAATGGGCTGTGATTTTAGTTTTTTTAAGCAGAGGTTGAGTTCAATCATTTGTATGACCCTCGGAGGATGTTGTAACAATTGAAAGGAAAAAGGTTCCCCACCCCTGCTGTAAATAATAATAAAAACCCTTGATTTATAACTTAACATCTCTGTCTCCTATTGATCTGAGTATATTATAAAGAATAGCAGTTCATTGAAGCATTATAGCACAGGCCTTTGTCAGATGGTATATTACGCTGTTTTTTTTCTGCTTCGAATAGTTTCTCATCTTTGGTCTGTGTTTGCATCACTGTAACCAATGAGCACCTGCATGTGTATGAGAAAGGCACTGACTCCATGTCAGCCCAGATTTACAAACTCCTGGCAGGACAAGCTAGAGCTCAATTCTCACACTGAATTTGAAAAAAAAGTGAGTGAGGGACTGCAATATAAGAGGGAAAGAAAGAGAAACTTTAAAACTGTTCAATTGTTATGATGTAAAGACTGATATTGTTCTATAATCGGCTGAAACTGTTAAGTCATGATGTGAAACGGTTAACAAAGAAAAAGGGAAACTCAAGCTGCTGCTGCACTTTATTTTATTTATCTAAAATTAAGCACTTTTGAGATGCACATATTTTCAAAAGCTATTTTATTTATTTTCTCTATTTTATTTTTAAATGCAGCCCGAGAGGAACATTACACATATCCACAGTACTTACTGTATATCTTTAGTTCAATGTTAATTGACAATAAATATTGTTGTTTTTGAATTGTACTTTCTTTATTTGATTGGCAGTCAGTTGTTGATTACATGCAGACGTTGATACAGCTACAGGCTACTTCAATATATATCACATTAATTCATAAAGCAACTTAGACATTTTGATGTTCCGGACCTTTGCATGCGGGGCGATTTCTCTAAACTGGACCTCGTTGCATTTTGTTGAATACCCCCTGCTAGGCTTAAACGCCTTCCTTCCTTCCTGCGGGTTTGCATTACAACCTTTATATATACAGTCTATGATTTCAACACAGGAAAATGGAGAACTGGAAGATGAGTGGAAAAGCGTCACATAAATCTTAGTGCCCACAGCTCCGTGGGAATTATTATGTGCAATTCATTTCCTAAGGTTATACAATTTAAGTCATGTTTAATGATCTTGAACGTCACTAAAACATAGCTATTAAGAAAGCTATTTCATAAATGGCTAGATCTTGATAGCAATTATTTTTATAGTTTTGTGTTAAAATATTCAGGAGTTAAATCATTTGAAATGCACAGTCCTGAATGTGGGTTTGTGATGAATGTGGGGATCTACAGGACACACATTTTCAGAGTAAAGGCTTTCACATTATTATAATTATATTTTATTGAAATGTAGATTTTACACCACAACGGAACAGAAAAGCAGGACCAACCATCATACATTGAATTCCTTGACTAACAAGAGAAAGATTCATTCCATTTAAATACATATTTAACCAGAAATGGGCCGGTTCTAACTTCTAAGAGGGGTTATTCAGTTAAGCCCGATGAGAGGGGATACAGCTGTGCACATGTCATCATTAACAGACGTCGTTAAGAGTGACGATTGATTGAACGAGGACGTCCCAATTAATACCCTGAGGACTCCTCTGTCCTCGCGTCTCCTCCTCGTGGTCTCCGGAGACGGAGCTAAGACGCAAGGAAGGGACGCGAGTGAGGAAAAGGAGGAGGGTGAAATATTCAATTGAGACGAGCCTAACTAATTCAATAAACCGGAAGTTGTGGTTGCGACTCGCCATTAAAAGCAAAGAAGAAGAAGAAGAAGAAGAAACCGGGAAGTTTGATGTAACGGATGCGGAAACGGAAGACCAGCTGATCAGCTGAGGAGAAACGTCGAGTTATAAATACTAATACAACGGTGTTTTGTAGGCTATAAATGACCACTGGGTGGGTTTAAGTAGCCTTTCGTATACTTTATGGACGGAAGTAACGACGGATATAAGTAACTTGCTTTGACGTTAGTTTTCCTGTAACCCTTTTTTGGTTTCCATGTAAACATACCTAACGTGACCGATAGTCATACTCGTTCTGTCGCGAGAGTCTAGCTGCTTCAGCACGCTGAACTGCTGCCTGGGAGAAACGGGCTGTGATGTCTCATCACCTCCTTCATTAGTCATGAATCCCGTCATTAAAGAAATTGATCCGGTTCACAGGTACGTTATAAAGTTAAATCCATCTGATGTCATACCGTAACAATATCATTTACTGCAAGGAAAGATAAAAAACAAACAGTGATGAACCGTGCGCAACCACCACTGCCCTTTTATGTTTAGGTTCCCTGTGATCTGCGAGGGGATTCATGGTTGATGCTGATCCTAAAGGGAGGAGTTTACAATGTCACACAAGTGTGAGTCTTTGTCTTTGGCTAAGTCGCGACGGTAATTTAGTGAACCTGTATGGCTAGCATTGAAAGGTGTCGAAAACTGATTGACGTTCGCGGAAGACGTTCTTCCTGCCTGTTTTATGTTATATGCAAATGGATTGATTGATGCTTTTACTGAACTATTGAATATTAAAGTTTGTCCGGACATTTGCCCAAGCTGGCTCTAAAATAAGCTTTATAAATCACTGGGATACAGCATAAATTAATATTTGAAAATACTATTATTATTATTATTATTATTATTATTATGAATTAAGGTGTTAATTGCATATGGAATTCAGGGACATTCTTTCAATTAGACTTAGTCCAAAGTGGTAACACTTAGAAAAATAATCTGACATTTGGATTTAATGCTTGTCCTTGATTGCTGAAGTCTGTTTTACTAATTCATAGAAAACGGATTATAAAATACATTGCCTATCAATAGTCATCATAGAGTGGCGAAGTCCCTCCCTTTCCGGGGGACCTTCCATGGGACCATTATATCGAAAAAAGAAGGTATTGAAGTCCAATGGAGAGAAGAAAGATTATCTTTCGATCCCGTTTGAATTGTGCCACGAATTACACATATGATGTTTGCAGTGGCGTTTTTATATGTACAAAAGTGGTGGGGCACAAACAACTTAGATGTCTATAGCTTCTGCAGTGAGGTTTCATGGCTGGTGAGGCTCTGACTCTGACTCTTCAGGTTTACAAATATTATATTTTGACCTAAATCAAAATATAATATTATTTCAAAAGCTTTTTTATGTCTGATGCTTCAATTAATTTTAAAACAGACAGTTTCAACAAAAGGATACCCACAAAATGTAATTTGATCATTTAAATATTGAATTGTTCTCTCTTAGTAAGATCCCATTTTCAATACAATTGCAGTCTATACCCTTGATTTGAAGATGAAGTCCATTTGCCTATCCTTCTGGACAAAAATCTCTATTACTTTTTTGTAAAAGTCCTCCTTATGTAGTTTCAAAAGTCTATCAAAAATCTAATCTAATCAATAGATTTATGATTCGAAAATTATAAAAGTAGGGTAGACATGTGGATATTATCCGACTGAACAAAACGTGCATTATTCTAACAGTTTGTTTCCCACAGATCTTATTTGGAGCTATTTTCTAAAATCCTATGGAGAAATATCATTGCTTTTTTGTGGAGGGAAGCCATGAGCACAGTTATTTTTCCGGGTTTGAGGACGCCTCACTGCAGCTCTCTCGTCTCCTCTTCACACACCACACTTCGCGGCACAGGTACTTACAGCCCAATCAGCTCTGAATGATGTGAGATGACGTATGGTGGGGATGGCAGCACTATGCCCCTATGGTTCCTTATTTTTTTGCCACACAAATTAATGGGACGATACTCTGAGCATGCGCAGTGTAGTTTTACAGTCACCATTGACTTATATGCTCACACTTTTTTGGCTGGTGAGCTACTTTTGAAATGTACCACTCACCGAGGTCTACCAACCAAAAATAAAATCCCAAATTGGCAAGGGTTGCTGAATAACACGTTTTATTTTACATGGGATAATAGGGCTGCAACAAACGACTAATTTGATAATCGATTAATCTATCGATAATGAAACGATTAATCGACTATTCGGACTATTACTGTATGCCTTGCAACAATTTCTCAAACGACTCTTATTAGCCATCAACTTTTAGATTTAGCTTGAGTTTGTTTTAGGCATGTGGAAACTAACAATGAAGACAATAAAAATGAATACTTGATTACAAAATACATATATTATTAATTAACTTACAAATTGTTTACAAAATTGACTTTGCTTTTATTAAATTAAATAATATTTCACATCAAAAGATAACAACAATGTTTTAACAAATCATATTAAATAATCTGATGACAGAACTGTAAACAGAATAGCTGAAACTTTAACAAAATAAAGAGTAACTCAGTTTCCTCTAATCATTAACCCATGTTTGTATCATTGAGTTAAACTCCGTGTGTTGCGTGCTAGCATACATAACACCTGACGTGGAAACGTTACTCGTGGAATGGGGCTACAGAGCTACTAGAAAGACAGTGGGAACCCGGTGCATTCCTACCGTCATGAATGTGGAGCACTTTTGCTAAATGTTTAGACACATGCTCGTGTTACCGCCCTTACATGCTAAACACTCTTGGCAACGAGCATTGTCCACATCGAGACGGGTAACATTTAACCACACCTTGGAGCGCTTCTCTCCGCCATCTCCCTCCGTGTGTTGCTGCATGGAGCAGCTCCGTGTGTGTAAACTGCCCCCGCCCCCTCGCACACTGACGGGAGAGAGATCTAGTCTGGATCGGAAAGATCGAAAATACACCGACCATATACGCATATTGTTGTCGTTTTTGCATGTTAGAAACGAGTTGGCGACACTAAGACTGCGAGATAATGTTTGTGTAGCAATAATACATGACCTTCTCTTTCTCAACTCGATACTCGGGGAGGGAAGTCGCTGTCATATGCCTTGTGAACACTCCGATAATGCCTCTCCACGTTACTTTTCTTTGGCAGAGCGACGCTCTGCTTTACAAATAAGGCAAATAACCTTTGAATGTGACATCACACAAATATTCTTCCTCCCCATTCTGGGTGGAAGTGGTTTGTCTTTAGCTTCTTGCTCGGTCCCGCACTACATTTTGTTTGTTTGTCCTCTTGTTTGTCCTCTTTAACTTAATTTGAGTTGTCCCGGCACTTGACTGATTTTGTATCGCTTTGCATTCTGGGTTAACAGACTGGAAAGCGATAGGTCTGCTGTTTTTCGTCAATCAAGTAAACTCCTGAATTAAGTGGCAGGGGAGCCAAGGGAGGAGGGGATCAAAACCTGTTTTGTCTATTTTAACGGAGCTGGATTTTTTTTTTATGAATGACTCGTGATCTACCAGCATTGCCCCCCGCGGTCGACGTAATGGGCACCTCTGACTTATGGCGCGTTTCCACTGCAGTGGGTAGCTCACTTTAAGCGTGACCGAGCCGTGCGGGGCCCGTTTTTGGTTGCGTTTCCATTTGCCTAGTTTTTGGCCCGGGGCTACTTTTTCACCTTTTTTTCTGGCCCGACTAATGGCGCGTTTCCACTGCAGGGCCTCGCTCGGCCTCGCTCGGTTTGGTTAGCCTTATTAGGCCCGGCTCACTTTAATGCTGCGCTTCCATTACAGTTTAGGAACTGGGGCAGTTACTATAGTAACGCAGTGTAGGCGGAAGCCGTGACGTCATCTTCAATGAGAGCCCCAGAAAAAACAACATAGCCGTTAGCTCTTAGCACTCAGAGCTCACAGCTCTTCCATATCTGTTCAGAAACTTGACAAAGTTAAACAAGTACAAACACAGACTGCCTGTGTCATGGCGAATACAGTCGCTGGTTTATTTATGTCTGTATAGGCCGTTGTTGTGAGTGTGGACGGTCGGGCCAGCATATATAACGTTAGCTTAGCCCAAGCTGCCATTTAGAAAACAAGCATTTTTAAAAGGTTCCTTCGCCTGCCATCTGTCCTGCAGACTTTGTCAAAGCATATATTTTATTTTGTTTTTTTTTTTACTAACCGGTATCAGTATGTTGTTACTTCGGCATCATTTTTAAACGTGTATTACAATTAATTCACGGTCAAATATGTTCATCTTGTTGTAGTTGTAGCCCCCTTGCCAGCGATTCTCTCTCTAGTTTAGCATACTCAGCCCGACTCAGCCTGGTTGTTCCTGGCCCTAGAACCACGATTTAGTCGGGCCAGAAAAAAGGTGAAAAAGTAGCCCCGGGCCAAAACTAGGGCCAAGTGGAAACGCAACCAAAAACGGGCCCCGCACGGCTCGGCACGCTTAAAGCGAGCTACCCACTGCAGTGGAAACGCGCCATTAGGCTAGCTTAGCAGGTTATATGTTTCACCCTGCTAACAGCCTTTATACTAAGCTAGGTTAACCCTGTCCGGAGCTTAGCTCTGTAACTAACACACACACAAGCTAGACATTTGACACTGCAGACATCTTGACTTGCCGCTGAATAGAGTGCCACAGTGACGCATCCTAAAACCTGGAAGTAAGCTGCGCATGGGTTCCCTCGACAAAAAAGCAATGCAATTTCTCCATAGAATTTTGGAAAATAGCTTGAAAATAAGGTCTGTGGTTGACACACATTTAAGAGACGGACCACGCTTTGTTCAGTCGGATAATCTCCACATGTCTACCCTACTTTTATAATTTTTGAATCATAAATCGAATCGATAGATTTATGATCGATAGGTTTATGATTCGAAAATTAAAAAACCTCTATGGAGTTAAGTCTATTCATTTAATGCTTTACCTCTGTGTTACGTACCATGACAAGTTGAAATGTCTCCTGTGAAGGAGGCTTGTGGATATCAATCTTCTCGTTTCAATCAAAGAAAGAAATACAAATTTTTAAAGCAACTATTTCTTGAAGTACTCTGAAATGCAACATTGTTTGGATCTAAACCTGTGTTGTTTTGCAATTGTATACAAAATGGTGCTGCGTTGGACAAAAGCTTTCATCAATGGAATTTGTCAAATCTAAATGTGTTTTTAACTTTGAATCTTAACTGTTTTTCATTGACATGTTCTGTGCCTTTTTTCTCTCAGCAACACCACCATTTCCTACGAGGCAGTACCTGCTGTGGGAGCCGATGGAACCAACATCATGAAACTGATTCCTGTACAAACGGTCAACAGACAGTTTTTCCAATCTCCAACAAGCCAACCTGAAACAGATCCTACACCACAGAGAGCTGAAGCCATGAACATTTCATCAGAACCTGTCCAGATGTTTAAAACAAATGTGGAACCTACTAACTCAGTGAACAAGTATTTATCCCAGCAACAGAATACAAGGTTAAGGGACCATAGCTCCAAGTGCAACACCTGCAGCTAACATTGGGATGTCCGGAAGAGTTCCGAGTCATCTCCCAGTCACAGTGAAATCTCTAGAACTCCCTAGAGGACAGTGCCCACAGACTCCCTCTAACACACAAGTCCAAACAGTCCCAGCACCTGAACTACCTAAGAAACAGATTTTGACTTTGTCTGCCAACTCCTCTCCGAGTACAGGCTTGTTCAAACGGGTTAACTTTAAGCTGTTTCAATCAAGAGTTTGATCAAAAGATGGATTCTGCATTTAACACGCTCCAGTTTATTTGCAAGGTGGCAGGTAAACATTCATTAAGACCTCGATTAAAAGATTCACCACATTTAACATTAATTCCAAAGGGTTCACAAAAGCCCAACAGCCCCATGAAGTGGGTAGTTGGTGAAGAGGATGGCTCAATAGTTCCAACTCCTGATCCAATTAATTCTGTAACTTCAGAGGTCCTTCGAATTGTTGCAGAGAGAGAAAATGCTAAAAAGCTCTGTGACGGCATTACCAAACCCAGTCATACTCTTGAGCCTGTTCCTTCTCTTGTTGCATCAGAGATTATTCGAGTTGCTGCAGAGAGAGAAAATGGCTGAAAAACTCTGCCAAGTCATGACCAAACCGGGTCCAACTCTCGAGCCTGTGCCATATTTTGTTTCTTCAGAGATTCTTCGAGTTGCTGCAGAAAAAGAAAAGGCAAGCAAGCAATGTGATGTCATTTCAAAACCACTTTCTGGGTCGAGTCCAGGCACAAGCGTACACAGACAGAATCACAACTTGGTCATCAAAAACAGAGAGGATGCACCACAGCAAAAGAAGGTAGATATATTTAACATTCCTCGTATGGCAGTGCCTACAAGAAACAGTGGGGAAGTAGGGAGAAATCCGAGTCAGATTCCAGTCACAGTGACATTTCCAGCACTGGGAACAACCGCGAGAAACGGTGAGAAGTTAGGGAAAACCCCCAGTCAGCACCCAATCACAGTGAAATCTACAGCACTACCCAGAGGACATGGCCTTCGGAGTCCCCCTGATACAGAAGTCGGACCAGTCCTAGTATCTGTAGTACCACCGGCTATCAAGAAACATGTTCCTACTTCATCAGCCAACTCCCGTCCAAGTTCAGGCTTACCCAATGTTGTCAATTTGTCCCCTACCACAAGTGTCAACCAAGGAGTTAATTCACAAAGTGATTCTACACTTGAAATACGCAAGTTTATTTGCAATAATTCCCCAAAAAAATCATCTGGACCTCCATCAAAAGTTTCAAAACCACACTTAAGATTGATTCAAAGGGTTTCAAAAAGGCCCAACAGCCCCATGAAGTGGGTTGTTGATGATGATGATGATGATGATGATGGCGGCGGCCCAACAGCTCCAACTCTTGATCCCATTGATTCTTCCGTTGCTTCAGAGATTTTCCGAGTTGTTGCGGAGAGAGAAAACCTTGGAAAGCACTGCGACGTCATCCCAAAACCAGAATCTGGGTCAAGTCAGGGCAAAAATGTTCAAGGACCGGAAACCGTAATCGTTTGTGATGGTAAAGTGTTTTTAGTGCCAAAACATTGCAGCTTACAATTTGAAACTGGGAAAAGTAACTCGCCCTTGGCAGAAAGCAAAGCATATGAATTCAACAAAACTATCGGACCTTCTTGCCAACAATCAGTGAAGGCATCTGCTCTTCAGAAAAGGGGGGGCCTCCAAATAATCCCTCAAGATGAGTCATGCGAAGTGATTGACCTGTGTGATGATGGCGCTCACAAGGACTCGTCTCAACCATCAGTTCATTTGCCAGGAGTCACTCATCCATTCACCTCCGACAGCAGCAGTGGAATATGCTGTCAAATAGAAAAGGATACCGACAAAATTGAGGTGAGGACAATTCTATTGCTACATTACATTTTATACCCCATAGTGTTACAACAGGATTCCATCACATTTGACTGCACAGTTACAATGGAGCAGGCTTATGCATATGAAAAGCCAGTCGGCCAAAAAACCTGTAGTTTTCAATGCCTCATCTCCTCCAAGATATTTACCTCTGTACACGCTATATTTTTCAATAAGGTAAACAAATACGGTGCCCCACATTCATTTATGTTGATGAACAAGGGAACATTTCCTATTAATACGACATGTTCTATTCCTGAGGACTTGCAGTTCAGGGTTCACCTTTTTAACTTAGAGAATGTGCTCAATCTACAAACAGAAAGACTCAAAGCACAAATGGAGAAGTTGCGATTTTTAGCTAATTCAAAACAACTTCAAACTAACCATCAAGACCATAGCTCATTAGGAATATGTTATAAATAATAAAGGTAATAAGAAGTGTCATTTTATAATAGACCTTTATAGAAGCAGACTTCTTTCGCTGATTATGAGAAAGAACGCAGGATTAAGACTTGCGCTTCACTTTGAATACCCTAAGGTTGCTACTTGATCAATAGGCTGAATACAGACTGAACTGTTTAAAGTCTATGATTCCTCTGATCAATGTTTATTGAGTACCTGCAACCAAAAAGTGACATGTGTTTTTTTCATGGCTAACTGCAGGGACATTTTGTTTACCAGAAACGTAATGTGAGAATACCTTCAGGTGTTACACGTGGAAACCTGCGATTGGCTGACAACTACTTAAAAACATACCAATGCCTAACATGTTGTCATGTGTGTTCATTGTATTACATTCAATTGCAGTACAGTAAAGAAATGACAAACAAGGTTTGAGTTCATTTAGAAAAAGTGTAACAATTAAAAGACCAAGAAATATTATAGGCAGAGATATCACAAATAACACATTTGCATTTAAGGGGCTTTACAATAGAACCGACAAGAAACAACTCCACTAAGTAATCTCAAAACCACAAATGCATGTTTTTTACATTTCTGTTTGTGTACAGATTGAGCAGTCTGATACAAAAGGTGAATCAGTTAGTTTGAGAAGTCTTGGTAGTTGTATTTAATGTTTTAGACAGAACCAGGCTAACGGTTTCCCCCTGCTCCCAGTCTGTATGCCAGCCTAATAACGTCCTGACTCCAGCTGTGTAACTTCAGCTGCATCCACGTCATACGCCTTTTGCTTTTTGCTCACGGTGGGCCTTACGGTAAAAGTTATGTTTTGTTACCATGGTCACGTCCACTGGTTCTGATGCTAAATACAGCTGTCATCTGATTGGTCCAGACTAATATCTCAACAAATATTGGATGGATTATTATGCAGATGTTTTGTGAAGAATAACTTGTTGATCCGCCGACTCATTTGATTAGGTTTGGAACCAAAAGGTCCTCAAACACTGTGACATTCCCATCAACCTCATCTGTACCTTGTGTTTGGTGCTAAGTAAGAAATATCTCATTACAAAAAGATGCTGATCCTTTAACATTATTGCTAAACATCCGCATTTTTTATTTGAGCATGCTGACAAAGCGTCTATGCCCAAGAACCGCTGTTGTAGAGACGCTAATATAACTTGTATTCTTCTTTTATGTATTGTTTGAATTGAAAGAGTTTATTTTTCTTCTCACAGTGCTCTGTGAGTCCTGCTACAAGTTGGACATCTACGCTGGCAGCGGAATCCTGTAAAATGGCCGATCCTCTGCCTGAGACACATGTTTGGAATAACAGCCGATGTGAAAATTAGCCTGCCGAGAATTGACAAAGACTCGTCTGCAAAACTTCTACTGAGTGAGTCCATAAAGTCGGTGGAGGATAATCAGGAACAAGCGAGCGGGTTGCAACAGGAAGATGTTTCTTTACAGGACCTTTACAGTCTACAAGACAGTACAGCTGCAATGGCACCGTCAATGTCCCAACAGGGAAAGTACTGAAAACTGAACCAGAGGATTCTGACAGTCCAACTCCTCTCTATGCGTTTTACTATTCAGGGTAGCACTCTGGACAAGGGAACATCATGTCATATTAAAAGTGAGCCAGAATGTGGATATGTGGAACCCATAGATGAAGATTTCCTCAGCACAGATGAAAGCAACATCCCCAACTCACGGGACAATCGCTGGCCGGCCACAGACTCCGACTTGTGTGGATCCGAACACAAACACGGGGAGAATGGGAAGAAAAAGGAAGCGCACGATGTGTCCTTGTTGCGTCCCTGCGGGGGGGCACGGTGCAAGGTCCCAAGAAGAGCCCAAGAAGTGGGCATGGGAGACGGCGCAGACGAGTAGAAAAGGGGGAAGAACCAAATTTGCTAAAAAAGTTGGGGAAAACATCTGGAAAGATCAACTGTCAAAAAGTGAAGGAGTGTAAGGCTGCTGAGGGTCTAGTGAGTGACAGTGAGACCACTGTCACTGAAGTAGTCAAACTACACACGAACAGATCCAAAGACTCAAAGAGCTACTGCACGAGAAAGAGGACGCTTTAAAACTGATGACAAGCAGCGTGGGCGGGGATCCAACAATTTGAACTCTAATATTCTAGGAAACGTTTTTTATTATTAGAATAGAATATGTTGTTCTCCCATTTATGTTTGTTGGAGTTAGCAACTGTAAAAGCACATCTAATGTGAGAAATTGATAAATGAATAAGAAATGCTTTAGTAAACACTGTCAGTATGGACTTTATAGTTGGTAACTAAAAAGCTATTTGCTTACTCATTAAGTAAAAAAAAAAAAATGCTTAAATGTAATATTTCCTAAATGGACTAATACATTATTAATATGTTATAAGGGAACTTGTACAAATAAATGACCTTGTTGAAGTGACTCATGTGAACACTTAATCCATGAATGTTTGGATGGAGTTACAGTTTGACTTGTGTTTTTAGCAGCATTTGGGGTGAGGTTATCCTGGTCAGCAGGATTCAGGTGTTGCAGCAGCACGAGGACCAAAGTAATCACTGAAAGAGAAGGGACATTTATTGGAAATATATAAGATTAAAGGAAATAGAAACTATATAAGACTAATTTAATTTGGAGTAACAAGGCAAGCATTGTATCTATCAATCTACTGTTAACATTTCAAGTGGTGGAAAAGTACTCCTTTAATTGTGTAAAAGTAGAAATACTATGTTCTTGAAATATACTCAATGTATACTTTGTGTAATAAAAGTACTCAGAATGGCTCTTTTTTCTTTTCTTTTTTTAAAACAATATTTCAGAATATTTGTTTATAAGCAGTAGCAAAAACATGTCCAATTATTTGGAAGTTGTAGTGTGTAAATGTTGAGCCATTTGTAGAAAACAAATGTAGAGTAAAAGTACAATTGTCTCAAAAAGTGTAATGGAATATAAGAATATGTAGGCATTAAATGAGTAAATGCACTTTGTTACATTCCAACAATGGTTATCGAAATACAATGAATTGTTCTTCAACTCAAGTGAAAACAAAATCAAATGCTCCTTCGCAGCCTTTGCAATATTATGAGATTACTTGAGAATACTCTTTCCAAACCAGAAGTAAGACTTAAGCTGTAAAAGACCTCCAGAATAAAAAATATATAATTGAAGTACTATAGCTTCAGTACTTCAATTATTTCATAATGACATACCCAGTAATGGATTGTGTAACTGGTTCCAAGAAAATATGAAAATGTTATATATATATCTTTCTGTTTTGGTGGTCACACCACACCGTGCACATGCATGCGTGAGTCATGGTGAGATATCTGGATTAAGAGGTTGCTTTTTCTTTGCACAGCATGAAAGAAAGGCCAAATGAATGGGCTGTAATTTTAGTTTTTTTAAGCAGAGGTTGAGTTCAATCATTTGTACGACCCTCGGAGGATGTTGTAAAAATTAAAAGGAAAAAGGTTCCCCACCACCTGCTGTAAATAATAATAAAAACCCTTGATTTATAACTTAACATCTCTGTCTCCTATTGATCTGAGTATATTATAAAGAACATTTAATTGAAGCATTATAGCACAGGGCCTTTGTCAGATGGTATATTAGCGCTGTTTTTTTTCTGCTCTTCGAATAGTTCTCTCTTTTCACACATACCTGTGTTTGCAATCACTGTAACCAATGAGCACCTGCATGTGTGGGAGAATGGCCCTGACTCTCATTTCAAGCCCAGATTTACAAACTCCTGGCAGGACAAGCGAGAGCTCAATTCTCACACGGAATTAAAACAAAGTGAGTGGAGGGACTGCAATATAAGAGGGAAAGAAAGAGAAACTTTAAAACTGTTCAATTGTTATGATGTAAGACTGATATTGGTTCTATAATCGGCTGAAACTGTTAAGTCATGATGTGAAACGGTTAACAAAGAAAAAGGGAAACTCAGCTGCTGCTGCACTTTATTTATTTATCTAAAATTAAGCACTTTTGAGATGCACACATTTTCAAAAAGCTATTTTATTTATTTTCTCTATTTTATTTTTAAAATGCAGCCCGAGAGGAACATTACACATATCCACAGTATTTACTGTATATCTGTATAGTGCAATAAATATTGTTGTTTTTGAATGTACTTTCTTTATTTGATTGGCAGTCAGTTGTTGATTACATGCAGACGTTGATAAAGCTACAGGTACTTCAATATCACACTAATTCATGAAGCAACTTAGACATGTTGATGTTCCGGACCTTTGCATGGGGACATTTTCTCTAACTGGACCTCGTTGAATTTGAGTTGAATACCCCTGGTGTAGAGTCAAAATAATAACAAATTAAAGGTAAAAGAGCGAGTTGGTGAACGTTGGAGTCAGTCTATCTCTTCAATGTGACATTTCCCCATAAATACAATATATCATAATCATACTAATCATATCCAGTTTTTTTAAATAAGAAACCCACTGAATAGTACAAAAAGAAAGAAGCTGGTACACATAGTGGAGCATAAAGAGACAAGGATGTGTAAATAGAGAAGGTGGGAAAAGTACTAATATCTTGTACTATAGGAAAAGTAGAAGTGTAGGAATACTCTCTTACAATTCAAATGCATTCATTCAAAAATGTTACTCAAGTAAAAGTAGAAAAGTATTCTCATCAAAATATAGTGAAAGTAGTGACAGTAAAGTAGTTGTTGTGCAGATTGGTCCATTTCAGAATAATATATATGATATGTTTTACAGTATAATGATTGATCATGAAAGTGTTCTCAAAGCTGGTAAAGGTGCAGCTAGTTTGAATGACTTTGTATACTGCAGGGTAGCTGGTGGATTTACTCCAGGTGGAACTAAAGTCTGATTTAACACTTGATTAGATTTCACATCATTCATCCACATCTGTGAAGTATAAAGTAAAGTAAAGTAGTGGGGTATAAGTAAAAATTACAGAAAATGGAAATACTCAAGTAAAGTATCTCAAAATCGTAGTTAAAGGTATAGGTAAGAATGGAGAAAGCAGCTCGAGTGCGCTATAATTCGAAAGTACACAAACGAAACAAATCTGCCACTTCCTTACAGAGCCCCTCCTCCAACACACACAAACGCGCACATGACCAATGAGGGCACGAGATACATTTGTGCCCAGATGGAAGGCTGACAGGCAGGTAGGCCATCCAGTTACTTTAGCCGGGCCGGCTCAGATGATTGGTCGTGCTTTTTACAGTACCACGGCTTCCAGAGATGAAATGTTTGTATATATTTATTGTCAAAGCACTTAAGATATTCATTGCTATCAGGATGTTAAGAGCATTCCATGGAATATAACAAGTGTTTCTGAAGTGAATTACCTACCCCACCTTTAAGTACAGTACTTGAGTACATGTACTTAGTTGGAAAGCATTCCAAGAAAGAGAGGAAGAAGCTGCAGATAAAAATCAGAGCACTAAATAACGCCTTAGCAGCAGAAAAAAGGAAAAAGAGAGATATAAAAAAAGTGTTAATGAGGTCAGGGTCTCCAGCAACAAAAGCTAGATATCTGAGGCCAAGAAGCAGTCCAAATGCAAGGAAACCCTGTTCCATGACGCATTGATTGAAGATCTACAAAGTCATATTGAACAAGCTGGTAATAGTCAGGAAGAAAGACTAATCATCAAACCTGATGACAGGGAGGATTGTCAACAAATACAGGTTGCAGAAATATGCCCAAAGTACCTTTGGTTTTACCCAAAGGCGATGGAAAACAGTAGGAGGTAATCCATACTCTTTCGCAAGGAAGAAATGTGTCCGCATGGAAGAAGAATATAAAAACAAAATAAGAGCCTTTTACACTAGAGATGATGTGAGCCGTATAACACAGGAACAAAGCAGACTTTAACACATGCCAAGGTCAAGATCAAAAAAGATTGCTCATGGACACCTTGCACAACCTGCACAAAAGTACTTGGCAGAGAACTCCAGGAAATCAGTTTCCTATTCTCTGTTTTGCAGACTTAGGCCCTACTGGGTTGTGCACCCATCACTTTCAGATAGGGAAACATGCTTGTGCAAACTGCATGAGAACTTAAGCTTTGCAGCCTGAAGTTGCTCATCACCCTGAACTAGAGACATTGATGGCACAGATCTGTTGTGACAAAACTAGAAAGAAGTGTATGTACAATGACTGTGTGGACTGCAAAGAGAAAGACTTCCCATTTCTCGGGGTATATGAGGCTTGCGCCAGGGTGGCATGTATGCAGTGGGTCACAGAGGACACGAAAGGACAAGACAAGAACAATATTCAAACAACATTCAAGAAGAC